TTTTCTGTCTGATTAGCCCCATCGTCCCCCCTTGTCTGCCCTTCTCTTCCTTTCGCACGTCATTTAACAAATGCACACACACACACACACACACACACACATGTGCATGCTTATAGCGCCGTTTGAAATTTACAAATTTGGTTTACATCAAATTTTTCGATTTAACTTTTTGAATGCGTTCAGAGCTGGAGTGTATGTACATATCTTATATATCGTCGTTTAAAGTGCAAAACCGCGTAAGTGAAGTTGTTGAAATTATTTTCTAGAGTGTAAAAACACTCTTTGACTGTTTTAAGAGCCGAGAATTGGGCCATCCCTGGTCTAGGTCACTGCTATTTTTAGGTGGGGTGATATCTATTCCGTTAAATAATTTTATAATTCATAGGAAGAGATGGGAGAATAGGTTCGTACAAAAAACTCGAATCTGGGGCCAAAAACAGCCATTCAAATGTTCATACAAAACTGAAATAACCCGACTCTAGAGCCACCTATCGGGCATAATTTTTGCAAATGAGACCATAAATAATATTCCCCTGCGCCACCTACCGCAGAAGCAAAAACATTGCGCAACTCTTCTTTGAAATACCTTTCGAACAAAAGAACAATCATTCACATCAGTTGAGAAACATAGGAGCAGTAGGGAGGAATAGATTTGTATTCGTATTATCTAATATGTAGATGATCGGTGCCCAAGAATACTCCTCGCCAGTGTTGCCGTTGTGCGACTAAAGGGGCAATCTGATCCAATACCCTTTCACCCGACTTTTTGAAATTTTCGATTTTTGACCCTTTTCCAAAATTATGTGCAATTTATGACCCTTTTCAGAGATTTTTTTTAGAAAATGTTAACAGAACATTGCTATTAAAAGGTATTTATTTCCTCCTGTAAGTACTAAAAATTGCATCACTTAAAATTTTTTAATGGAAATACAACTCTTCTCCTTGAAAAAATAATATGGTGTCCCTTTTTTCGTCACTGACCCCTTTTTTGTGACTTTATCAAAATTTTCAACGGCAACACTGCTCCTCGTATTTTCGTAGTAAAACCGGTTCAAAATTATTTACGGTGTTTTTCTGCTAAATAATAATATAAAACACGAAACCTGATCATTGTTAGGTTTTTATATGAAAAAAGACGAATTACGCTTAGAAAAATTTTCGTACATACCTATGTATGTATGTATGTACAGTGGCCGCCAAAAATAGATTAATTGTGTTTCGTTTTTAATATTTACAAAATTTTTCAAGCTAATTTTTTTTGATATTTTTTTATGAAAATATGGTTCATGCTTTAACAAAAACTGTATTAATCACACTTTCAAACTTTATACAGAACTTAGAAAATTTTTTATATAGATTTCGAGCTTTTTAACCAGAATTTTGGGAAAAGTTTTTTGGTATGCAGTTAACAAACTTATAAGATTCTACTAAAATAAGTGCAAGCTTTGAGAGGCTAAAAAATCGCATTGATTTTTAATATTTTTTTTTTTTTGTTCACAGCTTTTTGCACTTTTTTCCATAAATAGTTCATGTTATAGAATACCATACATATATTTTCATAAAAACTTTATAAAAAAAACTTTTTCATGAAAATAATTGTGAATATTATTTTAATACAAGGTGTAGCTAATTGTTGACTCTGACTGTAATGTGTAAGTAGTTATAAAATTTATAAGTTTCAGATCAGCATGCCTTTCATACAAAATGACGAAATTCCAAGAATTTCGCAGCAACAAAAAGCTAAATTAACGATTTTGTCTACTTTCTGTACGCTTCGTGCGTACTTTTATTCATTTATTTATTTGTGTCTCCCGCCGTCCATGCACCAGCCAGCCCCCTTCCGCCCGCTAGACGCACCGGTGGTGGTGTTGCTGTCGCAGTCACTGTCGCTGTTGCTGTTGCTGTCGTCCGCTAGCTTTCTGTCTGAATCGGTTAGTCGCACATATGTTTGTATGTATGTATGTATATGTAAGTACATATATTTACGTTCATATTCTGTGCCATGCTATGCTCTCATAGACTATTTTATTCTTTTCAATGCTGGCTGATTATTTTTGCTGCGCAATAATAGTCAAAAACAGCAACAACAACAACCACACAAAACAATAAATATACATACATACATACATAGTAATAATAAAGCAAAACACAACAGAATAGAACACCGAACCGAGCTATGTATGTAAGTTTGTATGTAGGTACATACTAGTATGAGTACAGTGAAATAACAAAAAAAAAAAAACGACACAGAAGGCAACTACAATACTATGCGCATAATATTAGTGACACAGCACAGCACAGTACAACACAGAGAATGGCAAAAATAGCAACAACAGCCACTACTAGTATCACAACAAAGCAAATTTTGCGCATTTAATTTTCTATGCTGCCAACCAGATACACACAGGTATGCACAGATATGCAGTGTGTACGAACGCATATGCATTTATGTATGTATGTATGTATGCAAGTGTGATTGGGGCGGCAGGCAGTGCGTATACGTAATACAAACGCCAGCTAGCGCTCTTCGTGGTCGTCGTCCAAGGCGCTTTCAGCTTGCTTACAACGCTGGCGTACAGCTAAGCGACGCCGGCAGCGAAAAAAGCAAACCAATAAAATGCCAAAACGACAGACATACTTATATGTACATACATATCTACACACACTCTTTCATATACAGTCAGCGTAAAAAATATAGAATACCCCCTCACGTTTCTTTATTTATATTCCGATATCGAATTGAAAAGTAAAAAATTTTGATAAAATGTTATGGTATTTCTTGATTTTTTCCGAGTTCTATACAATGTTGATATTCTACGTAAAATTTTACTTTTTTCAGTACAATTAGTTTCAAAAAGTACAATTTACCGATTTGAAGTACAATTTCAACATCAAAAATAATTTTTGTACCAAATACTCAAACCTCGGCCAGCACTTTGATTCTTAATCCGTTTACATTTAAGTACCAAATTGTGAATTGCTATATGGTTATATCAATTTTTTATTACCGGCGGATGAAATTTTTTTTTATTTATTTTGAAAAAATCTAGTCAACCCCGTTTTATGTGATTAATTTTCATCTATCGAATCTATCTACTGTACTAATTTTTTATCATTATTGTTTTCATCTTTGACAAAATGATACGGTCACCAGGGTTGAGCTATTTTTTTAATGTTTTATAAAGGTATAGCTCATTTTCTGACAAAAAATTAAATTAAAATCTCAAGGTTTCATAAAAATTTCACACTTTTTATTCAGAATTAAACAAAAAAAAAATGTTGGAAAAATATTTTTGTAGAATATTCATTCTAGTATAATAAGGTGCATGTATGAAGTATCTAAAAAATACCATTTATTTTTTTTGACGGTGTTGCGCACTATCTTCTATATAACGAATGTTCGTAATTTGTTGTATATGGAAGAAAACCTTTGTTGATTATTTTTTTTTTTTTGAAATGTGAAATAAATTATTTGTATAGTTTTCGTTAGACAATGAGCTATAAAAATAAATATTAAAATTAATTTGAAAAAAATAAATAAATAAATAGCATAACCCGGATGAACGTATAATTTTTTCGCTGGGTGTACTTTTATAAATGTGGAATATAATGAAGAAATCTGAATGATAAGTTGCGTTAAGTTAAGTCTACAGCAACTGAAGCTGTACATGAACTGAACAATAAACACACTGCAGAGACAAAAAAAATGTTCTTCTTTTTGGTAAGGGAAAAAGCTCAGGAAATGGTGAAAAGCGCAATTAAGTTCAAAAAGTTACACTTTTTGTCAACAATTGGGTACAACTTTAAAATCTCAATTATCAACACTGGTTATATATGGAATTGAAAAAATTGATTCTGCTGCTTTTTGTAGTAAAATGAACTATATATTTTTTTTTTATAAAAAAATTTATATAGAAGATATTAATAAAGAAAATCGTCAACACGTCATGTTGTTCATATTTTTGACGCGGACTGTATGTGCAAATACATACGTATATATGTATGCAAGTATACGCGGTCAACTATTTTAAAACAATTTGGAATAACAGTCGCTGACAGTCAAAAAAAACAATACGCTCGTACTCAACAATCTGCTTATAGTACGTATGTATGTACATATCTACATACTTACCTACATTTTTACATACATACATATGTGTAGATAAATTTGTAAATATTTGCGTTTATTTGTGCGTGCCTGTGTGTTTTTATTTTAATTCAGAGCAGCTCACTGAATGCCCACAACTATGTACTTGAAGGCATAGGATTCCAGAAGATTCTTCGGCCGCTGAGAAATTTTCAAGTGTCGTTGCTGGCCTTTCGGTAAAAATGCAAAAAAAAAACAAACAAAAAATGTCGCTATCAACGTACGTTTGTCACTAACTCCCCCTTTTAACGATGACATGTTGAATTTGTTTTTTTTTTTTAAATACGCAAAAAGTATTATTGCTTAACACTTTTTCGCATACAAGCGTACATTTGCACATTGCTGTAGATATGTGTTGTCGATTTTTGTTTACTTTACCCTCAACCTCATAGTAAGTCGATCGCATTCTGCTTCCCACAATTCGGCATCCCACCCAAACGCACAAACCGCTTATAGCCCCGCGGCAGCACACAAGCACTTGTCTCGGGCTCTGTATCTTTCCATACATACATATGTATGTATGCGTGAGCTGGTCTGTACTTGTACTTGTATTTTGCGCTAAACTACTATAAACAACTGAAATTTCATCGAATTAAACGCAAAACTGCGTAGGCTCCATCCGATGGCAGAAAGGAATAAGCGGAAAAAACAACTGAAGAGAAGACTTTGAGGACATGCGAGCGGGGACTGGCGACGATTCGAGGAGGCCTCGCAGTTCCAGACTTCTATGCTGTCAGGTGAAACGAGGGGCTCGCTTGCCTATCTGCACCATCAAATTATGCGCGCGCTCTCTCACTCTCTCTGATTTTAAAAGAGCTGTGTTAGTTTATCTGTTTATTTTTTATTTATTTTTGGTGATATGTACGTACATATGTATGTTTATATTTTTATTGCCTCTTGTGTCGGTTCCAGTTCCAGTTCCAGTTAACCATATATGTGTGAGGTATACATATGTCTCATATTTACGTCGCCAACATTCGCCACTGGTTTCTTGCCCGCTGGTGCTACTCTCCGCGCGCAGCATGGATAGCGCTGCCTCCACCACATTTAACGATTCTCTCTCATCGGGGGATTTGAGCGCTTCTATACAATGTTGCTGGCGGCGACGGTGCCTGAGATAGCGAGTAGGTTTCCGTAAGAGCATACCGTCCGTCGTCCGACATTGGCAACATTGCTGAGAGTGATAGGAGGTGTTTGGGGGGTTTTGCGTAGGGTTGTTGATGGTGTAGCTCACCACTACTCTCCCGTTTAGTTCCTAGCGTACTCAGTGGCCTCCAAAAAACGTATCTGTTTCTGGGATGTAATGGTTTGTATTTTGTGTGGTCGGCTCTGAGTGAAAGGAAGTGACGCCACTGTGGCGATATAGACGTTTATATTTTTTGTTTCTGAAATGAAATGTAGTGAGGAGCATAACATAAGAAGTGTCAAGATTATTTTGAAATATTATAGATATGGATTGAAAAGGTATTATATTCTAACAAATATGTAAATCGGGTGGGTTGTTGGAGGAAACATTTCGGTTCCGTTTACTTTTTTTATGACAGGCATCGATATCAAAAACGATAAAGTTAATTACAATAACAATGCTTATAATGATGATTAAAAAGTGTCGATAACCATTTACATATATGACGATATCGAAAATAATACGATAATTGTGCCGACAACTCTCTGATATCTTAAAATAAGCATTAGGCGGCCGCTGTGGTGCACGGGTTAGCAGTACGCGCTACCATTTCGCAGGACCAGGATTCAAGCTCGGTTCAACTCGACATCAAAGGAGAAAAACGATAAAGTATTTTTCTAATAGCGATCGCCCCTCTACCTCAAAATTGTTGACTTCAATTCGAAGAATATTTATACATATTTACATAATTAAGAAGATTGTATTTTTTTAGCAGTGATCATAATCGAGTTGAGTATTGCGTTTTATTTTGAAAATCGCAGCAAATATTTAGTGCAAAGCAATGTGAGCGAGAGGGTGTCACATATCAGAGTAAGCAAAAATACACACAAATACTTAGTTTTTGTGTTGACTCCACAGAGAAAGAAGGCATATGTATGTACCAAAAATTTATTTCGGGTAATAAGTAGTAAGTGGTACTCAATTAAAGTAGTATGTGCGTACCTATACATAACTAGCATACATTGGTGTGCCGTAAACACTATCTGACTGGCATAAAGACCCACTTCTTTTTTGCCGAATATTCACACTTGTTTATGCACATACGTACTTACATATTTCTGTTTGTATGCATATGACTGCTCGCTCTGCTCTTCTTTTAGGTTCTTTCAACCAGCCGGCTCATAATAGTCAGCATGCACACTCAGAGGCAGCCCAAATCGCTCAACATACTCGGGGGTATTCGTCGTACTATTTACGCCTATATTTGGGCACGCTTTCGACAAGCATCGAACACTAAATACTACTTACCATACATATGCTTTGCAGCGTTTGCTTGGAACTGCTTTCCGAATTCTCTTTTTATAAACACCCCTAGTTCCTAAACTATATAGCATCGCAAATATGACAGTTGAGTCTCAACTCTGACTCTCTGACATGCTTCTTCGCCTCCTTCATCATATGTGACTGCTCTTAACAGCTACACCCATTGATTCTCTTAAAAATATTTATTTTATTGAGTAATATCAGGTTCCTCGCGCGCCTATGTTAGGCAGCATAAGTTTATACAATAAACAATTCGACAACGTAGTTTCTCTCCTCTGCATGCGCATGTATGTATGTATTTCATTGCGTGCCTAGGGGTAAGTGGCACAAATTGGAAGCCGACGCTCAGTTAGGCCCTAAAACTTTGGTGTTGGTTGGGGTGAGCGAGGAGCATTGTTGTGTGCATTTTTCTTTGTTATTGTTAGTTTCCTCGTCCTCTCATCCCATTGTCGGTGATGCGCCTCTTCTTCTTGCTCTCCTCCCCTGCCATTGACCATTTCGATGGTTTTCGCCCCGACAATCGCCATGTCCTCCCTACCTACCACCTCGTACCTACTACGCTTGCCTTTTGTTTTGTACATAGTATTACGTAGTAGAATTTCTTTCTTTCATTGCGACGCATGCGCAGTCGCTTTTTGCGTAGTTTTCATTTAATATTGCTATTTTTTGTTAGTACATGCCACATGGATGTATTTTTTTTTTTGTTTTTTTTTTTGTATGCGTGTTTTATTATTATCGTACGATTCTCGAATCGAAGCTGCACTCCTTTATGGTAAATTAATTTTAATTGACTGTTATTCGGTTAGGAAGCGCAATTTATTGAAGAGATATCAATTCATCATCGTATTGCCTCAACTCAAAGTCGGTATAAATTTAATATTCAACATAATTAAAGATGATTTCCATTGCAATAGTCTTAATGACATTAACTTGTTGGCCTAACTTGGAGATAGGTATATTTTATACCAGGGACGGCAATCACTATGAGTGAAATAATTTAAACGACCATTTAATCATTATTTTATGATTTTTATTTTTTTTTCGGTCAGAGTTAATTATTGTTATCGAGTTTTATTTTTCCACTTAAAAAAAGTATTATCAATAAAATTTAAAAAGGCATACAAACGCAACCAACTGAAATGTTGACCTGAAAATTTTGGGACCTACTCCTTTTATTAGGATGTCGGTACCTCTGAAAAGGATACGTCGAAACTCACGGTGGTGCAGCTATTGAGTTTGTGAATAATCATTATTCTTAAGTGAAAAAATAAAATTCAGTAATAAATAGAATCTTTGAGCGAAAAAATAAAAATCATAAAATAATCATTATTTTTGATCAAAAAAATAAAAATTAAGTAATAATAATTTCCTTTGAGCGAATAATAAAAATATTACTTATTATTTTTAATCTTTATTGGTTAAACTTGAAAAATGTATATCATTGTAAATTACTTGTTGAATTTTTTTTTTGGTTAAATTTAAAAAGAAATGACTATTTTCCGTCCGTATTTAATAAATTAGTACCAGGTTGACCGAGCTTTGCCCGGAGTGCATATACTTTTTAAAGTTTTCAAGATTTGGATAGCTTTAAAAAAATATTTTAAAATTTGAAAAAAAAATTGGATTTCGATATCTAGTAAGTAAATTTCTTACTCTAAAATTAAGGCGGCAACCCCATTCCGAATTACGCTGGAATTAATAGTACAAATCCTGAGCGTATATGTACTGCGTATACTTACAAAAAATTCTGATTGAAATTAACAAAATACAATTTTGTATTACATAGATGCGTGGAAACCTTGACCGAAAATATTTTCAGACTAAAGTTCTCAACAATACCTTTCATTTGATATCCATATTGCGATATTTAGATAAATTGTGAAGAATCGAAAATAAGTGGCAACCTTACACTATTATCGTAAGGGATAACGTTTTGTATATAGGGAGAGCATTGTTTAAGAAACTTCTCTTGGTACCCATGAATAGTAATATTTTAGCTTTTTTTCTAAAAAAAAAATAAATAAACTTGCGATTCAAAATTGGTGGCAACCCTATTAAAAATATTTTTTAATCAAGAATCTTTGAAATACCTTCCATTTGATACCCATAGTATGATGTTTTAATTAATTTTTAACTAATTTCGAATAGGTGGCAACCTTATACGAGTTTTCTCGGAAATAATGCCTATTCAGATAACCTTAGAATCCAAAACATTATCTGTGTACAAAATTTCATCAAAATCGTTAGAGCCGTTTCCGAGAACCCTATGGATATATATGTATATATATAATATATAGCGCATCGCTGCTAATATAGCTGACGGTTTGTTTGCCCTTCATGGTATCAAGCTGGGAGCAATATAGTTTTGTAGATAAAGAAGTTGTCTACATAATTGTGGTGGGAAGTAGTACTACGCTGTGACTAATCACTTTCGAGTTATCGATTATTAAATTCAATGATTCGTTTTTTTAAGAAATATGAACAGGAAATAATGTTACTCATACGCCGTGTATCCAAGCGTATGGACAAATTGTAGGTGATAGTAGCAGCGTAATACACTTCAATGCATTTGTGTTCATAATACAGAAAATACGGTTAAAATATATTTTCAGGACCTTTTAGTTAAAACCCATGTTTTTCCACGTTTTAACCTACGGATATCTTGAAACCCAAAAAAACCCCGAAAAATGCAATGGGGCGACCAATAAAAAATCGTTAGTATTAAAAAATGGTTAAATAAACAATTGGGTATTATTATTATTGAAAGCCTCCAGAAGAGAATCAGAGTTTTCCGATCGAAAAATATTGACTTTCAAGAATTCTATACCATTTCAACGAAAAAATTTATTTTCCCCATTTAAATATACATGGAAAACTTTGAGCGCTTTGAGCGACCTCTAAATGTTGTTTGATTTCAAAATAAAAAAAATATGGGTATATTTTTTTCGATATAGAAAATCCTAGGGGGTGAGAGCATTACAATTCAGACTTTGCTGTTTTTGGACCACCCTAGTGTAGCCACATATTCCATCCCAGCTCCATTGATGGAACACAACTCATATACATAAGCTTAAACCAGCTAGGAACATTTCTAGATAACAGATTTGTTTAGACTGTCCGGTTCCTCAAAAGACAGCACACCCTTTCAGAGAGATAGTAATTTTTATAGAGAGCGAGATGTTTGTTTGGATTCCTAGGTGCACAAAGCCCTTTACAACTTTGAAGTTATAGATCACAATAGTAATATTTATTTTCGTTCACTAATGATTAATTTTATCCATACGAGGCACCATCGCCTGTAGAGCTGCAGAAGTTCGGATTCGGCGCTTTCTAACTTTGAATTGAGGAAGTTGTTCGAAAACACCATGCGGCAAAAACAAAAAAAAATTTCAAAACACACGAAACAATAACAATATGGCCACCAAATGAACGAGAAAATTTTGTAGAATTTAAAAAAATTTAATTTTTTTTTTGTTTACAATTAAAACTGGCTAACTTTTTTTAATACATATGTATATGTACTTATTTATTCAGTTCAACAAATATATGATACTCACCTGTCAAAATACGCTTTAGTGAAAAACGTTCTTATTCTTCCCAACCAGGAAATTAGAAATTTTCCCCTGACAACTTTTTGATTAAATACAAAGTTTACGATTTATTCTGTTCTAAGGTAGCGAATGTTTTTGCATAACTAAGTTCCATCCACTTTAACGTGTTTTTTGGTCAGTTGAATTTTGTTTAATGGATTGTGGAAGCCTTCCTGAAATTATTTATGGGCTATTTCGGATGAAATAAAGTTAAAATAAGATTCGATTTAACTAAACCAATTAAATGATTCGTTGACCCTTAATAATATTAATCTACAAATGTGATAAGATTGTAAATTTACTGCAGTTTTGGACAAAAGCTCTTTCCAACTAAAATTCTCCACCACTGCCACTCAGCATACGCTGTTACCAGTACAAAATGTGTATGTGCTATCAAACACACAATATATATATAAAAGTACATGTGTATGTATGTATTTATGTATGTGATTCTCGGTTTCTTTCAATTAAAATTTTAAATGGGTTCGCATCAACTATGCAAGTAAACTATCGTCGCCGCTGCGTCAAAAGGCCGTTAGATTTCTTCGCAAGGCAACTGAGTGCGTTGAACAACAACAATCTATGAAGAGCAATTGCTTTTGGTACCATATCACATCCTAAACAACACGCCACTTATTTACTTCGATGATGCGAGTAGCTCCTGGAAGTAAGTGAGCAGAATATTGACGCCGCGATGTCTTAAGCTTACAAGCAGCAAACCCACTAAAACTAAGGACATAAATAGTTCATTCGATCCCCCACTGCGCGCAAGCATAAGCTGTTTTGAGTTATAGATTTTCACTGAGTGTATGGGGTTACCGATTTCCCACAATCGTATGATCAACAACTGCTGCCCTAGGTTACGTACGCCCGGTCCGCCACCTTCGACAGCCAGGCCTCTGTGCCACAAAGCTCGCATATTCAAATATCGTTTTGCATAATTTTATGCCACATACATATGCACGTATTTATGTACGTATGTACAGATACTTATGTATATGTATGTATGTATGTACATGTGCACGTTTGTAAATGTGGTACAATCGACGTCAATAGCTTAACGCCTATTTCAGCAGGCGACGATGGCGTAGTAGTCACAAATTGTTTCATCGCATGACCACCGTCAGCACTCAGCAGTTGTCGCCAACCTCACAGCGGAGTGTCTGGAAACTCAAAATGAACAACAACAACCAAAGCATATAATATGTCAATGACCAACAGCTTCAACTCTTGCTACAAAGTAATACTCCATCCACAAATGCTGTACTGTCTCATAAATAGTATACATACATACATACATGCAAACCTATTCATCTACATACCTATAGCCATACTTACTTACCCACGTGTGACCGCGTTCTTTGGTTCAACCCAGTTTTCGCAATTGACACCATTCTTCAGCCAGCCGCCTCCCTAAGAGCAGCGGAAGGGTTTGGTTTGATGCTGTCTGTTATAAGTATAATCGGAGCGCATTCACACTTTTCGGTGTGCCACATTTTTGGGCAAAGTCGTCGTAATCCTATGGTCAGTCGAGTGGCAAAATGAACTTTAGCTTTTGGTTCGTTTGAGGTTACGTAAACATGCATAAACATGCAAACTTACCTAGGTAAATAGCTTTAAAACTTAAAACTTTTTAAAATTTCTTTCTCTACTGTCTTTAACAGGAACGATTATCCTTACACCAAACAAAAAATAACCAAAACATGAACCAGCTTCCATTTAGGCAGCTGTGTACCTGCATTGCAATAATGGATTCCAATTGGAGCAATTTCGAGGTCCTACATCGGCACACTTTATAGCCAAACGGAGAAGGCAATGTTACAGTAGTCACATAATTCATTCTCCTAAACAAGAACCCGCACTAGGTTTTGGGGGCAAGTGCTTGTTGGTTGATTTCCCAAGACAATTTCAGCATTCTCAGTCAATGCACAACGGTCCTTG